TAATGAATACAATGGATTGGAAGTCATGAGGATCCCATGCAGGAAAATATGGCTTCCCGACATCGTTCTGTACAATAGGTACGTTACAAGTTATAAATTACCTTTCTCTTTTATTTTCCTTTTATTTACTTTTATTGAAGAATTGGTTCAATATGTTAATGATATAATATAGAAATATGCACTGTTTGATTAGTACTTGCCTCTTAGCTCAACTCTGTATTGATTAAAAAAATCTTCGTAATTTACGAGGAATAATATATTTTTGTATTTTGAAGCAAAAAAGTTACATATATATTGCCTTTGGTTTAACTTTATTTTTAATTAATAAACGACAGATTTGCAGGCATTGAATTCTTAATCTATATGATGTCGATAGTGAAACAAAAACAAGACAAACTCGTTGAAATATAACGATTACAAATTTAAGAACAATATCTAGGTCACTTTTTAATTTATATAATGATCACCAAAATCTGTGATCGTGAGAAAATCAATTTTTTAAACTGTCACAAATGCTCTGAATTTTACCGAAATGAAAAAAGTGTTTTTTTAATTAATTATATCATGTATATATCTTCATGTAATGTGCAATCAATGATTCTCCCGAACTAAACAAAATCATATAATTCAAAATTTCATAAGACTTTGGTAAAGAATATGTACTCTATATTTCTTGAATAATCCAGTAATATACATGTATTAATATAACTTAAAATGCTCACTAAATTTTTATTGATGATTAAGCTTGACATGATATTAGCCATTTGTAATTCAAGGGCTAAAGTGATATTTTAAATTTTCTGTTCGTTATCTCCATATTTTGATATGAATTATTATAAAATATTATTCTCACCTTTTCAGCGCTAGTGACCATAACGAGAAGTACATGGAGGCCTTGGCGATGGTCGGTAGCGATGGCACCGTCTTCTGGCCACCAATCGTCAAGTTTAGAAGTTCCTGTCTGATGGACATGACCTACTTTCCGTTTGACGACCAGATTTGTAAGCTGAAATTGGGATCGTGGGCCTACACTGGGTTTCAAGTAGACGTCCTCAATCGGTCAAACACTATCGACATGTCTAGATTCGTAGAAAACGGTGAATGGGAGATAATAAATACAGAGGCAATCCGGAATAATGTATACTACACGTGCTGCCCAGAGCCATTTCCGGATGTGACGATCACGTTACACTTGCGTAGAAGGACTATTTACTTCATGTACAACGTCATCATCCCTTCCATCATGTTGTCTAGCCTGGCCCTTCTTGGGTTCTGGGTTAATCCTGACTCGGGGGAAAAGGTTACCCTTGGTCTTACGGTGCTGCTAGCTCTCTCTGTCTTCATGCTGTTAATTGCTGAAAACACTCCCTCCACCTCATTCTTTATACCACTTTTAGGTAAGTTTCTTTCTTTAATTCTTTCTTGTTCAGCCAAAAATCATGATCTTTTTCAATATTTGACTTCTATCTGATTGTTCATGTAAACTTTCTGTATGTACTGTATTCAACAAAACCAATGATACATTTCTCCCTCCCAAGATTTTAGTATTGACAAAGCGTATATTAAATAATGAAAGCATTTACGGTGATATGTTATGTTTCCTTTCAGGTGTATATCTCATAACCACGATGTCCTTCACCTCTCTCTCTGTTATTTGTGCAGTGGGCGTGACTAACCTTCACCTCCGAGGTCACGCGTACCCTGTTCCGAATTGGATGCGCAAGCTCTTATTTTTAATTTCCAATATTTTGTGTATAAGGCTTCATCATTTAAGGAATGGATTGTCCGTTAATAGTTCGCCTCATTGGGACAGAATTCCGGCGTCTTCCACTTTTGGAAATCACTCCACCTCAAACGGTCGCATCGTGCACGATCTTGGCGAAGGGACCGTCATTCACCATGACGAAGTACACAAAGAAGGGGCAGCCCCTACCGACAGGTTATTAAGGGAAGATAACTCTGATGTGAATCACGCATTACTGGAAACTCTAAAGTGCCTTATTAACAAACATGAAGAGGGAGAACGGGAGAGAAAGATCCATGACGAGTGGAAGGAAGTGGCATTGATAATTGACCGTTCTCTGTTCGTGATTTTTCTCCTGGGAATGATTGTAGCGTCCGTCTACATTCTTGTTGTCTTGCCATTAAGGAAGTTAGCTACGGTTTAATTCACTCCTTACATGTGCTATTTTTGCCAACATTTTAAAAACAGAAAGTTGGGGACGGTTTAAGTCTCCCCAACATGTGCTCTCTTTGCCAACATTTTGATTACATTAACGAATAGTTTAATTTATGCTATATTGTATTATTGGTATTTTTATTAATCATGCTGTGAACACTCTTGTGTTTGACACAATAAAACCGCACAATATTACTAGGTAATAAGTTTTTAACTGTGCTTCTTATTTCAAACCGCAATGCCCAATATCTTGGTTCAACAACATTTATGGTGGTTTCAGCAAAATATTTACACTTTTTAAAAAGCAAAGACGTCTTTAAGTATTAGTATTAATAGCTGATAACTTTTGTTGTCACAACTACAAATGATACCCTTAACTATTAACATTATAAAAATGTTTATTTACTAATCAATATGAAGACAAAAATGAAACTTTATTTAAATGACAATTGCAAAAGTATCTTATTTTTGTCGAGATACTTTAATGATTGTAGATTATTGAAATAAAAGGTAAAAATAAAAAAAAATCACGGGAAAAAGAACTGCATTAAAATGTCACGTGAATCCTCCCCGGAATGTCCCTAAGCAGTCAGTCCGAATTTGTACACGGTTGTATGACGATAGGTCTCCCCAGGACGAAGGACCGTGTTTGGAAAGTTTGGCTGGGTAAAAAATGTAAACATATTAAAATTTTCTGAGAATATTCCAATTCAATCATGTCAAATTCTCGTATTCAGTATTTAACCATAAATCTAAATTTCTTAAACAAGATTGTAATAGTTTAAAATCATTTTATTGCTTTCATACGAAGCAGTTAGTATTTTAGCAAGATTATCTTTGTCTTCTAAGAGTGTAAGATATACAACTGGTTCAAGCAATTTGAAAACGAATAGCCCAAAACTTTTAAAGGAAGATTTATAGGTCACAATGACCTACATTTTGTCTGTAAGGTCACTATGACCTACATTTGGACGGTGCAAAAATTCAATTAGCAGGTATGCGAAAGATCCTTAAAGGCTTACCTGGTTTACGCTGTTAGCGTAATGTTGGGTCTCTAAACAAACGGAAGCAAACTTCTGGTACTCGACGCCACCCTTCCCGATAACCCCTGGTGCCATATTACATCCGGTGTAGCATTGCAGCCCTGGTTCTGTCGTCAGCACGTCCATTTTACGGCCCGAGGGTGGATGTTCTAGACTAAAATAAACTATGAAACATCAAATCCTTATGAAAAAGGCTCTATTAATATGTCAACATGTAAAGCTTGTAAAAGCAATTCAAAAAGTAAAAAAAAAAAAAAAAAACGTTGATTACTGAAACCATCTTTTTGTTTTTAAGACATTTTACTGACTGAATCAAAATGATTTGCAAAAGAATTTTTTACTAAATGCACTTGTCCCTCTTCATAATCATTGCAATATTTCATGCAAACTAATTCGTAGAAATTCGATTTTCCCCCCAAAAAGTTGAAGAGAGCAGACAATAATTGATCTTTAAAAAAATCGACAAAAAATACATATCTGTGAACAAAGAATAAAACATGGAGCCCTGGCAATTCAAGAGGTTTTACCGGGTTACCATTCCCTGTTGACCGGCCACACCCGCGAGACCTTTGTGTATTGATGATAGATGTTTAGTAGAATATAAAAACAAAGGGCTAATATTTGATATGAAACATGTTTGCCAAAATACAACCCATTGATAGAATTCTTAACAAGGTCATAATAGTTTTCAAAAATGTTTGAAATACTTTTATACCCGATTGGTGTAATCCCTGTAACACCAACTTATTTGTCAGTAGCCTACCTAAGTTTTTAAAATTAATCGGTCTCAGAACGTTTGTTGAATAAAATGGTAGAGACGCCATCTGCAGTGGAAAGGGGTATAATTCTCCAAAAATACATGTAAATAAGAATAGTTAATGGTGGAAGTTGAAAACATAATCTCTTTTAATTAATGAACAATAAAAACATTAAATGCTATTAAAAACATGAGTGTTACCTAGCAACTCGCGTGAGTTTCCTTATCTGCCCTCCGACACAGAAATTTATGTCATATCCTTTTCCGTCGTTTACGTATTTTAGGCGATCGCCTAAACGTGTAGGCGTTCTCAAGTCATAGGCTGTTCCTTCCACAGGTGTAATGACGCCTGGATTGCAATAAAAAATTTCCTCGAATACAAGTACATTGTTGTGGTACATTGTTGTGTGTTTTAAAACGATGTAAACATAAACAAAACAAAGTCATTTTGTCTAAAACCTATGCATCACAATTTTGTATATTTAAAAGACACAAAGCCGAGGGAAAAAAGACTTTGTTAATAATTATATAGATCTACAGTGCTGATACACAAAACAGTACTAAAAACTTTTTTGATCACATTCTATAAAATATGCATTAAATGTGACATTTGAATAATTAACCCTTTCAATGATTATTTATTAGTATTACCATAAGTATACGTGTTTCATCTTATTAGAAAGTTTTAATACACTTTATAAAATCAAACCTTTGGCCCTAATAATTGATATTGGTGTCTCGTGCTTCTAAAAGATGTGGTGTAAAAAAAGGGTATGTGTTATCATAGATTTAGTTGATTGTTGAAAATATCGCACAGAATAAACTCATGAAGAATTCTTGACATATACAGTGTACGTATGCTCAGAGTAGAAAATGTTTATATGAATAAGATCTTAACAGCAATGAATTTCCTCTCTGCGGCGGGCACCTGTCACACGTGGTTTGGGATGATGATCTGTCTATAAATCCCATCTAGTTAAGCAAATGATAGATTAAGGACAACTAATGCTTAATAAAATCATCAAAATGATTGATTTAGGATTACCCAGAAAAGCAAACAAAGGCATCTGGAAAACTTTTAAATTACTGAAAAGAAGCCGGTAGATTTGATAAGTTTTGTAAGAAGAAGCACGGATAAAATAAATGGATTCCACATTTATTGAACCACCAATGAATAACTCGAAGAATCTGTAAATTGTATTGGATACTGACGTTTTGGGATTAGATAAAGAATAGTAGAAAATAGGTTTAATATGGGGCGATCACCTGTTGGAATGATGTTTTGATCCAAAGGAGTGTAAGTATAGGCATCAATCCAAAGCACGTGGTCATCTATGTTTGGATAACCCTTCAATAAAAAAACAGACACATCAGCTCACCTGGTTTAGATTATTTAACGTATTTGTTGTATAAATAGTTTTGCCTGTCACTTTTTATAGATTTATTCAGTTTATTTTTACACGCACCTGCCCAGCTAGATTAAGATAGGCGTGGTTTGTAAGGTTGATGGGCGTGGCTTTTGTTGTGGTTGCCGTGTAGTCAATGACAAGCTCGTTCTCATTGGTCAGACGGTATCTAACCTCGACGGTTAGTTCCCCTGGATAGCGTTCCTCGCCGTCAGGACTGACGTACGACAAAACAAGCGTGTCATCTTCCACTCTTGCTTTCCATACCACCTTGTAAAAAAATAGTCTCTAGATTACACATTTTATACACTTAAGAATATAAATTCTAGATATATATTTTTAAAAAGAGAGCATGTATTATATGACTGGAGAAATATACAAGATGCTAGTGTATGTTTAAATTCCGTCCATCATTTTGTGTACATCTTTAAAACATGTTCGTCTATGAATGATACCACTTAGAGTACTCATATTTTTGCAATGAACTTTAAATTTTTCCTATATATGAATTCTAGAATGGACCCAAATCATTTTTGCCCAAAGTTTGTGGAAATACTCTAGGTTTTCCAGTGAAATTTCATATGAAAACATCCTATCATTTAGAGAAAACCCTTACATAATTTGATGTCAAAGTCACAATATCATATACAACAGTTGATGTCTCATTGCAACCTATGAAAGACCTTGATAAGTTTTAGGATAAAATGTATGAAGCAGTACAATATTTTAGCTAAGCGAGAAACATAAATTTCTTGAATTACATTGTACATACAGCGTGCACTTGTTAATTTTTATACAGAATCTGAACATTCGGATCCTCTAAGGGCCTGCTCCAATCAATGGCGTTCAATGCTTGCGATAGAAAAATCAAAAGCAAATGTCCCCTCAGAGCTACCTTATCGAATCCCTTCACGCCCCCGTGTAGGTGGTTAGGACCGTTGTTCACTGCCAGCTGGTACTCTTTCCCATCAACGGTAAACTTTCCTCCAGCAATTCTGTTTGCAACTCTTCCACATATAGCCCCAAAATAAGGGTGACGTGCTTCGTACCCTGTGTCACAATAATTTATTAAACTATGAAACATATGGAGATAACGAACAGTATTCAAGATCAAAAATCCATAAAACAATACAAAACAGGAGCAGAACAAACACGGACTTAAAAACATCAGAGGTGGGATATCAATACTTTTGATTGTAATTTTCTTAAAATTTCTCATTTTCTTATCATAAATATAAATTTTACCTTTAATGTCATCAAATCCTAAGTTTATATCCACCACTTTTCCGTTTTTGTCGGGAACTAAGATATCCGTTATAATGCCACCATAATTTATTATCCGGACGGTTATGTTATTTTTGTTTTTAAAGGTAAATCTAAAAATATAGAAAACTGTGTTATGAAGGTATTTCATGTAAGTTTCTTTTTTGATTCAATAATATTGTGTAAGTATAATATATTTCCCGACTGTTGGTTTCAAATAGAAACTAGATTTATTTAAGATCCAAACGGACCGCCATAGCATATGACCCAGTTCCTTCTTTCTTCATGCAGTTCTGTCCATTTTATTTTTCTCTTCTTCACCCTATGCACAAAGTGGCATTAGTTTTCCCGCCACCCTTAACTTACCTGCTGATTTCTGTGCCGTCTTGCAGACGACCAAAACTGTCCCGAGTAGGAATAACTTTGCCTTCCGCCATCTCCACGCCGATTTATCACCAATCTGGGACGTCTCTATATCTGCTGTGTGATAAAGGCCACGTACACAGACGAGTGGACATTTGGAGATGAATTTAAAAATTCCACTCAAGCAAACAAATCATATTCGTGTCTGGCTTGATGTCAACTGAGACAGGTAGAATAACACGATTACAAAAGTAAATAAAATGGACAATGCATGGTAAAGGATATGGCAATATTTGCATTTGTATATAATCCCCTGTTAAATTATGATACTTTGCAAGATTACATAATTATTTAAAATTTTT